TTTTTTGAAGGAGCAATGCATGCAAACTATTATTTTCTTCAATGTATGTCATATATCATTGCATAATGCTGTGAATAATGCTGTGCAACTGTTTATCTGCCTGTGAAACAGATTTTGAAATATTTGGAATTGTGTTTCTGGTCACACTGAAATACAAAATTTTTCATTTTTAGGTCCCCTGCCCCCTAAAGGTGTCATTCGGAATTACATGCAACGCTTCCATTTTCATTCGGAACACTCGACGTTCATTAATTTATCAGAAAAGTTGAGATTTGTTCCGTTATCAGAATACACCGCCTTTTATCATTGAGTTACATTGTAAATGGCAGGGCCCGACTAGAACTGACACTGAAAATTTCATTGCTATGTATAGAATACTATATATTTTTTAATTGTTTTTTTTTATTTGATTTTCTTTTTAATATACATGTGAAGTCTATAGCCGGGCAAGCCAAGCCCGGATCCGCCTCGCGGGCCCGGTCTATGACTTCCCCGTATTAATGCGGTGGCATAGTTTTTTAGCTCGACTTTTCTATGAAAAGGGGAGCTATCCTACTCGCCCCGGCGTCGGCGTCGGCGTTAGCGTCGGCGTTGGCGTCACACCTTGGTTAAGTTTTTCGTACCACCCCACTTTATTTCAGAAGTATTACAAGTATGGCTTTGAAACTTACCATACTTGTTCACCATCATAACCTCCATCTACAGACAAGAGTACATAACTCTGTCAAGGTTTTTGACAGAATTATGGCCCTTTTTTGACTTAGAAAGTGTATTGAGCTTGGTTAAGTTTTTTGTACCACCTCACTTTATTTCAAAACCATTGGAGGTATTGCTTTGAAACTGACCATACTTGTTTACCATCACGACCTTCATCAACAGACAAGAGGACATAACTCTGTCAAGGTTTTTGACAGAATTATGCCCCTTTTTGACTTAGAAAATACATTGAATATGGGTAAAATCCACTTATTGCCTTAACCCTTTGAGATATTGCTTTGAAACTTTTAATGCTATTTTCACATCATTACCCCCATCTGTACGCAAGAGAAGGTAACTCTGTCAAGGATTTGTTTTAAAAATTAAGGCCTTTTATCGACTTAGAATCTTGGTTAAGTTTTTAGTACCAGTCCACTTTTTGACTGAACTGTTTGAGATATTAATTTGAAAGTTGGAATACTTGTTTACCATCATGGTCCCAAAACATGGCAGGAGAAGGTAATTCTGTTAAGGATTTTATTTGAATTATGGCCCTTTTTGACTTAGAAACTCAGTTAAGATTTTCATTCTTGTCCACTTGTTGACTTAACCATTTGAGATATTACTTTGGAAGTTGGAGTTCTTATGTGCCATCATGAGACCTATCTGTAAGCAAGAGAAGATAACTCTGTGAAAATGTTTCTTGATTTGTACTTAGAAATTCCTAGTTAAAGTCTTGTGTGCCCTTAACTGTCAAAGTTTTGTTTTATATGCAAGCACTAAAAAAGTCGAGCGCGCTGTCCTTCTGACAGCTCTTGTTTTCAAATGCAATCATTTTGCGGTAACTTTTTCATTTTGTATTATTTAGGGAAATAATTCATACTTGGATAATATAACAAGGGTGAATGGACAAACCTATTATAAAAGGGGGAAAACAACCTTTTTCTTTAATATTCTTTTCAGAGATTTGTTTATTAAATTAATAATACATGCAATAATTTTTAGACTAATTTCCGGGACACTTTTCATATGGAGGTGGGGCATTGAACAGCAAACGTATTTTTTTAATTTACATAGTGATTTACAACCTATATTACCGGTATTTACAACATGCAAATTTAATGACACTAATATGAAATTAGGTGCTACCTATGGCGCGGAAAGCTCTTATGAATTATGATTTTAGCATAACATGTTTAGTGTACATGTTAACCAGATTTTTCTTGCAGGTATTTTGTACCGTAAACAAAACGAATAAATTGATGGTGTGAAACTTATTATTGGGGCGCCCGAAAATCTCCATTTTTGTTAATCTCTAATCACAGTTGTTGTTTTAACGTTATTTTTTAATGCGCTTATTTATCAAAAAGTATACGTTAAAGTAACTTTTTATATTTATAATCGTTACTATAGTTCTATTAATGAAATGCATGTTTATTTTCTGATTTTGTACATCATTTTTTCACTGGAAGTGTTATTTATCATGCGTCTGCTATCAATAGTCTGAATTATGTAGAAGCTCATTTAAAGCGCTCTGATATCTATATTTAGCTCAAAAGGATTTCAAAATGGCGGCGCCCAGTATCTAAGGATTTTTTCACAGCTGATTTGGTATAGGATATAATATTTTTTGAAATTTTCATTTACTTTTAATTTGATTTTACTTGAATTGATACGCGTCATACATGTTATCTAAGAGCCCTACAGCCCTCGAGGGTTTTTTGGCCCCGCTCGGACTCTCCGCGTATAAACATAACAAAATGTCAATAATTATTAACAGTTTTTCTTTCTTTTAAGCTCACCTGAGCAATGCTCACTGTGAGCTATTGTGATGGCCCTGTGTCCGTCGTCCATCGTCGTGCGTCGTCAACTTTTGAACATTAACAACATCTCCTCTGAAACCAATGACTGCACATCAACCAAACTTTACAGAAATGATCCTTGGTTGGTCCCCTTTCAAAGTTGTTCAAATGGTTCCGGTCTGTTGCATATGTAGGTCATAGGGCCAGAAAAGGATTTCAAAAAACACAAAATTAAAAAATCCTCTTGTCTGAAAGTACATGGGCCAGAGCTTTGATTTTTGGTATATGGTATCATCTATGGGTCCTCTACCAAAGTTGTTCAAATTTTATCCCTAGTGTCAAAATTGGCCCCGCCCCAAGGGGTCATAGGTTTTTCCTTACATGTATATAGTAAAATCTAAAAAAATCTTCTTCTCTGATTTGGCAAAGGCTACAGATTAGATATTTGGCATGAAGCATTGTGTAGTAGACCTCTATCAAGATTGTTCAAATAATGGCCCTTGGGTCAAAATTGGCCCTGCCCCAAGGGATCATTGATTTTCATTTCATACATATAGTGAAAACTTGAAAAATCTTCTGGTCTGAAAGTAAATGCCTTAGAGCTTTGATATTTGGTCTATGGTATCATCTGAAGTTCCAATACCAAAGTTGTACAAATTTTGTCCCTAGTGTCAAAATCGGCCCCACCCCTGGTGGTCATAGATTTTTCTAATATGTATATAGTAAAACATAAAAAAACCTTCTTCTCTGAATTGGCAAAGGCTACAGGTAAGATATTTGGCATGAAACATTGTTTGGTAGACCTCTTCCAAGATTGTTCAAATAATGGCCCTCGGGTCAAAATTGGCCCAGCCCTCTGGAGGGGGGGCCATTGATTTTCATTATATACATATAGCGAAAACTTGAAAAATCTTCTGGTCTGAAAGTAAATGGCCTAGAGCTTTGATATTTGGTCTATGGTATCATCTATAGGTTCAAAACGAAAGTTGATCAAATTTTGTTGTCGGTCCCGCCCCCGGGGGTCATTGATTTTCCCTATATGCATATAGTAAAAACTTAAAAAATCTTCTTTTAAAGAACCCAAAGAGCTAGAGCTAAGATATTTAGCATGAAACATCTTCTAATGGGTATCTATCAAGTTTATTCAAATAAAAGCCCTGGGTTCAAAATTGGCCCCGCCCAAGGGGGTCATTGATTTTCCCTATATGCATATAGTAAAAACTTATAAAATCTTCTTTTAAAGAACCCAAAGAGCTAGAGCTAAGATATTTAGCAATAGGTGTCTACCAAGTTTGTTCAAATAAGAGCCCTGGGGTCAAAATTTGCCCTGCCCCGGGGGTCATTGATTTTCCTTATATGTGTAAAGCAAAAACATTAAAAAAAATCTTCTTTGAAAAAAAAAAACAACAAATAGCTAGAGTTTTGTTACTAAGCATGAAACATCTTCTAGTGAGTGTCTACAAAGTTTGTTCATATTAAAGCCCTTGGGTCAAAATTGGCCTCACCCCGGGGGTCATTGATTTTATTTATGTGTATAGCAAAAACTTAAAAAAAACCTCTTTGAAAAAACCCAAATAGCTAGAGTTAAGATATATAGCATGAAACATCTTCCAATTAGTGTCTTTAAAGTTTGTTCAAATAAAAGCCCTAGGGTTAAAATTGGTCCTGCCCCGAGGGACATTGATTTTCCTTATATGTGTATAGCAAAAACTTAAAAATCTGATTAAAAAAAACAAACAAAATAGCTAGAGTTTAGATATTAAGCATGAAACATCTTCTAGTGAGTGTCAAATGGGGTCAAAACTGGCCCCGCCCTAGGGGTGTCATTGCTTTTAACTATATGTGTATAGTTCAATCTTATAAAATCTTTTTTTTTTAAAAAACTCAACGAGCCAAACCTTAGATGTTTAGCATGAAATATCTTCGAATGGGTGTCTAACAAGTTTATTCAAACAAAAGCCCTAGGGTTTAAACTGGCCCCACTCTGGGGGCCTATATACAGGTGAGCGACTTCAGGACCATCATGGCCCTCTTGTTTAAATATTTAGGCATCATCAATTCAATCAGTCGTAGAATAGAATATAGTAATGTTAAGAAAGGACAATTAGCCATGACGTTTACCTGAAACATTCGCTGAATCCTGTACATTTCATCACCTATTATTTAGCGATATTTTGAGCGTTCGTTATCTATAGCGTTCTAGAATAGTTTATAAAAATGGACAATAAGGTTATATAAAAATGTAAAATTTCTTGCTAGAAAGTAGATTAATTTAGAGTTTTGTCACTGGGCCATAAATCATCTCCAGGACAGACACTTTATTTCCAGGACTTTCACGGACCTTCGGGACTTTATGGCATGCAATATGGTTTAAATCATTTATTTATTTCTTTACAGAAAAAGTTATGTGTTGTCCTCGCACAGCTATGTCACTTTTTAATTTTTTTTTATGATCTAAATCCAGTTTTGCCTTAAGTATATTAAATGTTTTGGTTTTTTCAGGTCTTTATATGATATTTTGATCTATCTCAAAACAAGTGAAAAAATGCAAAACATAAGAATGCACACTGGAGAAAAACTATTTACGTGCAAGTTGTGTGATATCAAGTTCAGCAGAATGAGTAACCTAAAAAGACACATGAGGCAACAACATACCCGAGAAAAACAATTTCAATGTAACTTTTGTGATGGTACATTCACCACAAAGAGTAATCTAAAGCAACACCTGACAATACATACTGGAGAAAAACCTTACAAATGTGATGTGTGTGATAGTTCATTCAGCCTAAAGTGTTATCAAAGGAAACACATGAGAAAACATACTGGAGAAAAACCATATAAGTGTGATGAATGTAACAGCACTTTTAGTCAAAAAGGTAATCTTAATACTCATGCAAGAGTACATACTGGAGAAAAACCATATAAATGTGATAAATGTAATAGCACTTTTAGTCAAAAAGGTAGTCTTAATACTCATGCGAGAATACATACTGGAGAAAAGCCATTTCAATGTAATGAATGTTATAGTACATTCAATCAAAAACGGTATCTGACAGAACACATGAAAATACATACAGGAGAAAAACCATATACATGTGATATTTGTAATAGTGCTTTCATTTCAAAGAGTAATCTTAAGCGACACATGCAAATACATACCGGAGAAAAACCGTTTAAATGTGATGAATGTAATAGCACATTTGGTTTAAAAATTCGTCTGACTGAACATATGAGAAAACATATTGGTGAAAAACCATTTTTATGTTATGTTTGTAAAAAAGCTTTCATTTCAAAGAGTAATCTTAAGCGACACATGCAATTACATACCGGAGAAAAACCATTTAAATATGATGATTGTTATAGCACATTTGGTCAAAAAAGTTCTTTGACAGAACATATGAGAAAACATACTGGAGAAAAACCATTTTTATGTTATGTATGTAATAGTGCTTTCTTTTCAAAGAGTATTATTGAGCGACACATGCGAATACATACTGGAGAAAAACCATTTAAATGTGATAAATGTTACAGTGCATTTGGTCAAAAATGTTCCTTGACAGAACACTTGAGAATACATACAGGAGAAAAACCGTTTAAATGTGATGTTTGTTATATTACTTTCATTTCTAAGAGTAATCTTATGCAACACAAGCGAATACATACCGGAGAAAAACCATTTAGATGCGATGAATGTTACAGTGCATTTGGTCAAAAATGTTCTTTGACAGAACACGTGAGAATACATACAGGAGAAAAAACCGTTTAAATGTGATGTATGTTATATTACTTTCATTTCTAAGAGTAATCTTAAGCGACACATGCAAATACATACTGGAAAAAAAACATTTAAATGTGATGAATGTTACAGTACATTTGGTCAAAAAATTCATCTGACAAAACATATGAGAAAACATACTGGAGAAAAACCATTTTTATGTTATTTGTAATAATACTTTTATCTCAAAGAGTAATCTTGAGCAACACATGCAAATACATACTGGAAAAAAAACATTTAAATGTACTGAATTGGTGTAATAGTACATTCGGTCAAAAAAGTTATTTGACAGAACACATAAGAATACATACAGGAGAAAAACCGTTTAAATGTGATGTATGTAACAATATTTTCATTTCAAAGAGTAGTCTTAAGCAACACATCAAGGCACACATGGGAATATATATTGGACGGAGAAAAAAAAATGTATTAAATTTAAGCGATTGAAGTTTCAATCTTGACATTTGAGAATACATGCATGCTGTTTTTTACACGCCTGATGAGTCTGCAGGACTTAACTTGATTTTGCTTTTGAATGTCCGTCTCTCTGCCCATAGACAATTAGTTTCCAAATGATGTCTTGAAGGATAATCACATTAATGTACAGTTATCTTTTATTTGACTTATTTTTCCTGTTATTTCATATTAAAGAACTGATTAATAGTTTTTTCCACTCAAAGGGTTTTTGTTACTTGCATATACATTGTATATTTGTATGTCATTTGCAGAAAAGCAATTATCTAGAGATAAAAAAAAAAACATTCATACAAAGTTATATCAGAAACATTGTAAAAATCATGCTGTGTAAAACAGGAAAAGGTAATATACATGTATGAGCATATATATAGTGTAGCTAACTTGAAAGGTGTTAAGTAAAGTGTTTGGGTGAAATACCCTCTGTAAGTAGTTACTACAATATAGCCCTTTCTTTATTTGTTTATTGTATTGTATTGTTCCGTTTTTCCTCCTTTTTCCTTCATATAGCACTTTCTTAATTTGTTTATTGTATATATCTTCAAAGTTTTATTACACTTATAAAGGAATGTTGCCGTTTTTGATTTGTTGTTCTTTCGCTCTCTGTCATGCCCTTTTGAATGGCCTTTTGAAATTGTTCTATGTTTCAAGATACAGTTGTCAAATTGTATATTAAGACTATTAAGTAAGAACTTAAGAAAAATAATACAGCTATTGTGCGAAAGTAGCACTAGATCTGTCCAAATATATATACAGAAATATTGTATTGTTCCGCTTTCCCTTCTTTTTCCTTCAAAAAGCCCTTAATTTTTTGTTTATTGTATGCTGATTTTGAAAGTTTCCCACTTGAAATTTTATCACACTAATAAAGGAATGTTGCCGTTTTTTGTTGTTCTTTCGCCCTCTGTCATGCCCATTTAAATGGCCTTTTGAAATTGTTCTATATTTCAAGATACAGTTGTTATCAAGTAACGCAAGAATTTTAAAAATAACACGGGGTATTGTGCGATAGTCACAACAGATTTGTCCAAATATATGTAGAAATGTCCGAAACAATTTGCTCCGTAATGTAATTGACCAGAATACATGAATATAATTACCAAGAAGTATCTTTAAAAAAGATACTCGGACGAAGTAAAACTGGTTAACTTGCATATGTTAGGTCTTAGTTATCCATGCAAAGTCATATAGAATTGTTAGTATTCCTTGGGTAACAATGAAATATAACAATTTCTTGTAGGGTTATAAATCTAGAAAAATGGAACACCTAATTTAAAATGTTTGTGTTTCTAAACAAACCTTACGTGTTTCGGTAAGTAAACTCATTTTCTAACACAAACATCAAAACATTGAGTAAGGCAATTATTTTTGTAAATACTTTATTAATATGCAAAAATGTATACAAATTATATATCATCATTTTATCAAATGAACACATCAAAAAACATATAAATATATTATATAAGACACTTATTGAGCATCTTAAAATAAGGGTACCTGATAAGTTCTGTTATTATTCTCATTATTTTTGACAAAATTTAATATTCAGATCTTGTGTAAAATGAACTCGGTATGTTTCAAAAGCAAAATTTCTAGCTATTTAAGCAATAACCGTTTATATCGCATGCTTGGTCTAAGTAAGTTTGTGTTTGGAGAAAAAAAAATGCAGAAAACAAAAAAGCAAAGAATACTATGAATATATCATAGGAAATTAAAAAAAGAATGATTTATTGATCAAATTTATTGCTTTTTGAAGGCAAGATATAGCAAAAATCTTGATTTTAATTACTTATTATTTAAAGGTCAGAAGCACAGGCAGGTATGTATTTTGTCAGTATCAAATCAAGGAGGAATAACATACGTTTTGTCCATACATAATTATATAACAATATTATGTGTAAGAGCATTTTTGTGAGTGTTCTATTCACTTTATTCATATACATTTGTATATTGGGATGACTATTATTCCTGTATCATTATTGTTCCTAGGTAAAACCAGTCATTATCGCGTGGTGGCGTGTAAACTTGAAGTTCTACTTCCGGTTTTAAATATTTCCTTCCGGTCTTTGAAAACATGGCGTAAATGACTTGTTGATCCGTATTAGATAATCCTTGTGATATAAAGAAATCAACAGCATCCTCGAATTGTGCGGCAAATTTAATTACATAATCTCGTTTACCAAAAAATAAACCTCCGCCTAATAAAACAAGATTTTGTTTCATGATTGTTGCTGGACTTCTGTCGAATTTTAGTTTTGAGTTTATAAGATTGAATGCAATTTTTGTGTCATCAAAACTGGGCGGCTTGGTCAGGTAAAAATTATTCTCTGATTTTCGGTTTCTGAAGTATCCTATATCAATCCACATGTAATAGGCTGTACTGAAAGCATTCATCTTCGCCGCGCGTTATATCATGTCATACTTTGCATGTTGTGCGCATGCGTAAGCAGGCACAACAGTATTCGGATAGTGTTTCGGATACGTACTAGATTCAAATATTTTCTTTATCTTATCGATATTCTGAAAAGCCCAGGATGAAGACCTGTCTAAGAGGACTATTTTTGTTGACATCAAAGATTCATTCCTTATAGCCGTTATGTGTAATTTGAAAAATTCAGAATCAGTGAAGATCACCATTGGATTTTTGACGTGTCGAAAAATTCTCGCCCAATTATGATACATATCCCTCGTAAAGTATGTTCCTGAGTGTCCTTTCCGAAATGTGCCAAGATCAAAGTATGCCGTTACAACAGTAACATTTGAATTCATTGTTGAGTTTGGTTGGTAATAATTAACAGTCTTCCCAGGGTCAACTAGTGTTGACTGAAAATAGAGTCATTAAAGTAAGTTGGATTCAATTCAACAAAATGTTGGGTTTTATTTACAAGTAACCTCAACGATAGTTTAAAAGTGATTACAAGAATATGTTTTATTTAAGCAAATTCGAGGAAAGACAAATACCGATTGAGTCAACATGCTTGCAACATGCAGTATATTATGAGAAAAGCAAGCACTTTCTTGAATATCATGCAGACAACATCTTTTAAAAGCAATTTAGAAACCGCAATAATTCGATACTTTTCAAAGCAAATATATTCATTTAAAGTGCTTAAAATCCGACCAATAGATTGATTTTGTATGATTAACAGACTGTTTCGCGTATGTTCATGTATATTAATTTAAAGAGTAAAAGCTTTTGATCAAACATTACTACCATTGAAATAAAAACAAGAAGAAACACTCGTATTTAACCTGCCATATACTACAGATTCATGTGATAAACCTCACAATGATGTGTCATAATTATATCGCATGTTCGTATCATTTAACGCAGACTTGTGTCATATAGCGCACATACAATTAATATATATCATACTTTCTTATCATACAACATACGCCCTTGTGCAGCATATAATACCTTTATGTCATATGATATAGCAATATTTATATGTATGTGCCATATATCATAGGTTCGTGTCATATAGCATACATTCACGTGCCAAATATAACGCTCACGCGCATTATTTCATAGATTGGTGTTCTACAGCAAACACTCGCGTGCAATCATATATTCTTGTCTTATAGAAAACATTCAAGGGTCAAGAGCATTCTGTGCCACATACCTTACGTTCATGGCATAGAACCCATGATTTTTACCACATATCATTTGTTAATGTCATATAAAACACGCTTACATGCAATCAAGATATCATACATTCATGTCATACAGTCGTGTTCTCGTGCAATATATTTTACTTTCGTGCCATATACCACTTATTTAGGTGACACGTATACTACGTGTCTGCCATACATACTAGTGCATACATTTTATTTGTTAAAGCATCTAAGTTTTGATATTTACCTTAGATTCCATGGTATTCAAGCCATTTCGCTGTCTGTTTAAAATAAGCAGTCCAAGATTCACACCAATGACTGTGATGATGATAAATTTAAAATACTTTTTTGAAAGCGTCCACATTGCTTCAAGTTTACAAATGATGAACAAAAGACAATTCATTTAAGTTATCACACAGTTGCACGAGTACGCCGTGCACAAATGACGCTTGCACAAAAGTACATGTACAAAAATATGTTCGGTAAATATATCTATTGCGCGTTAAATTACATAAAACTACAAATAATACATTTATATTTTAGGAACTACCACGCCACATATTAGACACATAATTATGAAACACATGTTTTAAACACTTTTTTTATCTGATCGAGATTTTTTCACGCATGTACTTAATATGTTCCGTATGCGAGGAAATACAGTAGTTTGTATATAAACAATATACATTAAATTACATATATATCGACAAGGCGGCACACCAACCTTTATTACTTTTACAATGTTATTTAAGTCTATGTAAGTCTGTGTCCTGAAAAAGGCCGTGTTTATACTGTAATACAGTATTGCACCCCGAGAAAATTAAATTATCGAGAATACATAAAGCAACAAATAAAAGACCTCTAAACCATTATAATTTATTCATTTCGTAGGTAATTCAATACAAAATAAAAATAATCAATATGTGCAACGTGCAGCAAAACCATAAAAACATTCTTTCTCAAAGAATTTCATCTAATGCTTAACATGTATTTTAAAAGCAATAATTAAGATAATAACTAAACTTTTCAAAGAAAAATATCGGCACCCTTATTTACGAAAATAAAAGTATTAAAAGATCTTATGACACATTTTATTATGGTTTTAAATCATAAATATGATGCTCAAATTTAGATTTTTCAGTATTGTAGGTTCCAAAATGCATTATTTATAAAGATATTACCGAATTTAACATTTTTTTTGCAAATAA